ACTTGCACCCTGATGTAAATTTAGAAGTTAAAAAACAGAGTTTCTAGGTGGAGTTTCAGTTTCTCCCTTTCAGGGTTCAGAAGGATATAGAAGGATAACATTTTAGAAAATACAAAGATCTCATCTGTGTTAAGATGCCCCAAAGGTGGGGTAAGACGTGGAAACTCCTGAGTGAAATAAAAGCTTTAGTAAAGAGTGGGCAGGTGCTACTGGTGAACAAAATGAAGATGGAGGATGATAGTCAGAGATGTTGCAAAACAATGGAAGAGAAGTCAGGAGTTTCACATTAGAAATAGTGTTCATCTACCACAAGGACAACTTTGCATCTGACCAAAACACATTCTGCATGTTTACATGCAGATGCAGAAATAGACATGTTTACATTGCTTAATTGAAAAAAGGCTTTGGCACGTTTGTCATGCAAACTGCAGGCCTTGAAAATCTTTGGAATTTGGTGCAACTCTAACAAATGTTTCCATACATTTAAGCAGTCTGTTTTAAAGGCAAAACCAATCCTGGTATTCCTTTGCCACTGGCTTTAATACATGGCTGTGTTGGAGAGGCTATGCACATGCCATGTAGAGGAACTGCTGGTGCCTGGCAAAAGCAGATTGGCATAGAGAAGTGTGAACTGCCAAAGAGCAGATCCTTTGCTAATGAATCAGCACAAGCAGTTCGGTTTGGACAGAAACAAACTATAAAATGCCAGCTCAGCAGGAGCTCTTCCTCGAATACATCAAAGCTGTTCCTTTCTACATGGCACAGCTGCCTTCTTTCCAAGAATTTCTAGGCCAGTATTCTTGTTTTCAAATAGTTTTTAAGAGCACACAACCCCCACCCTGCCCTGAATGTCCACAAATGAATAAAAAGGATGTAAAAATTAGAAGTATCAAAATATTATAAACATCAACCAAGCATCAAAATATTAAAATCATCAGTCATGCAAAGCATGAGCATAACTGGCTACAGCCCCCCTTACTTATATGATGATTATATTAAAAAAATAAATGTTACTTTTTTTCTCCAGAAGTAGATATGTTGAACATTCTTTTTCTCTTTATCTGCGTATTTAGTGATTTTCTGCCTAATGTTTGATTTTCTCTATAATTAAGCACTAAAGTACTAATGTTATTTGCATGAACTAGATTTCAGTTGCATCAGTAACTATGGGATAGTTTTGCCTATTTCAGCAGATTGTGATAGATCAATCAGAAGTAATATCAGAAGTAACACAATAGCTGAGTTATTTTACAGCATTTCTGAGGCTATGGATTCTGTAAAACAATAAGAAAACAGCAGATCAATGTGTCACTATTATAATATGTGGTTGTGGTGTTGTGGCTGTCCCAAGGCAGGGAAGCTGCAGTGAGTGGAAACCTCTGAGTTCACCTGCACCTTTGTGAGGGGCAGCCACAGCACACACTCAGAGACGTGGGGCACTAAGCACGTGCATCAGCCCTACAGCCTCACCTGGCTGCTGGGCAGGAGTGGGGGTGCTCCCAGACACAGGGTACTCCCCAGCTGGGACAGTAGGTAGCAGAGATCTGGAGGCAGCACTGCTCCCATAGCTCATCTCAGTGTGTTTCACACTGGTAAGACAAAGGACACTGGCTGCCTGATGTCAAAAAGGCAGGAATGTTGTGTTGTGATGCAAATATCAGGCTTACGGGAAGGGCTCACAGGCTGCTCGTGTTGGTGCAGAAGGAGGAGATGGCAGATCTGAGCAGCGTTTCTGGCCAAGCCAGGCTGGGTTTCCTTCTACATTTCTCAGCAGTTTTGGTCCTATGTCTTAACTTCAGCAGAATTTAGGTGTACTTGATTAGGCTTGGGCAATGTACAGGTGATCTTCTGCAAGATACTATTTTTTTAATAATAACTAGAAGTATGTATTGGTAAGAAGTTGGATGGGAAACTTGGACAGGTCAGCAACTGGGGTGAGGTAGATACACCTGATAAGGTAAGCAGTGTACAATGATTTTCTGGGTTTGCTCTTGATGTGCAACAGTACAAGGAAAATGACTGCACCAGAGACAGGGGAGGGGGATGGCATACTCAGAGTCCCTGCTGAGAACTCATTGAAAAAGAAGAAGTTCTTTGGCATGTTTCATGAATGTTCAAGTATCCAAGGCTGCTGCTATTGCTGTAGACTGTCTCTAAGATCTGCTGTATTCTAAGATCAGAGCACCACCTGTGGCTTTGGATCAAATATTACAGAAGACATATTCACTCCTGTGTGGAAGAGGAATCTTCTCTTGGGAACAAGCTGACTCTTGCTTTGGGTAAGCAGAGCAAGCCATTTGTGAGAAGTGAAGGACTTGTCCTGACATCACAACTGGATCTGCTGAGACCATCTCTTGCTGGTCAAGAACCAAAATATGGCCTTGGAGATGTCCTAGAATGCATACAAATATATGGAGCCAAACAGATTATCAGGGTGGAAGCTGTGGGACAGAGAGTTCTGTGAGGTACTGAGAAGAGGACACAGAAAGAGAGAAATATTTTTAAAGGTATACCATAAAAAATGCAGCAGTTAGGCAGAGGTGCATCTTCAGAGCAAGGCTGAATTAGAGGCATTAAAAACCACAGAATTCATCATGAAATGAAGTAAATAATAGCACATAAAAATACACAAGGTAGAAAGTACATTGAAAATACCATCCTCCTGGGTATGCCCATGATTTTCTATCTGACTCATTCATCACCTACACCTTTTTATGGAGAGCATTTAGGGTCCAAAAATGAAGAAACCCTCCATGAAGTAATTTCTTGAACTTACCTTGCTTCACATAACCAAGCTTCCTTCAGATTCAAATAAGTCTAAGTGTTGATGGAGATGGTGGTGGTTTTTTTTGTTTTAATAGCTTTATAAGAAGTGAGAAGTTCAAGTTCAGATCCCTGCTTAGCCAGTTCTCCATTAAACTTTGATCAGTTCAGATCTCAATTCCCTGCTGCCCAAAGGCTCTTCTGAAGCTGGATTTAAATCACAGCAAAAGGAGTGGAAGATGTTGAAGCAAAGGATGATTTTTCATGAGTCCAGGAGGAGAGGAATAAGAGGGTCACAAGGGACCTGGAGGCTGTATCTGAAGTGTTTGACTTGAAATTATTGCAAAATCACTGTTCAGAGCTGCAGCTATAACATTCACACCCTCCTTTTCTTAAACTAGGTATTTAGAGTAAATCTGATTTCAGTCCTTCAATGCATTAATTCTCCAAATACAAAGATGGGGACCGTAATAGCTGCCTTCTCACAGGAAGTATGTGCAACTAAATTCTTGAATGTGTATGAGGTGCTCAGATATGATTCTGAATTTTTGTCTATGGACAATTGGGAGGAAAAGAATCAATCTCTCTTTAAATAAGGCTTTGAATCAGTGGGCAGCTAGTAAGGAAAAAACAAAATATTTAAGAACTGCTCATGGTTTTGCAGCAATCTATTATTAAAACAAAGTATAAATGATAATACTGTGACAAAGAGTGTGAAATTGTAAGTCTTTACTAGATAGAACACACAATTCTTTTTAGCACTTTATCTCTCTGAATGGATGAGTAAGCTAAATTCTGCTTTTCTGAGAGGGCTGCTTAAAGAATCCCCTGTTAGAATATGTTCCAATGTTGATAATTAAAACCAGTCAAAGGTCCTGAAAATCAAAAAAAATCTGCGTTCTTATCCAAAAAAGATGGTTAGCACAATCCTGTCAACGTGCTTTTCTGAAAAAACCCTTTTGGGCACTGGAATCATCTGCCCAGGGAGGTGGTGGAGTCACTGTCCCTGGTGGTGTTAAAAAAAAGACTGGACGTGGCACTCAGTGCCATGGTTTAGTTGATAAGGTGGTGGTAGGTCATAAGTTAGATTTGATGATCTCAAAGGTCTTTTCCAACCTAGTTAACTCTGTGATTCTGTGATGTAAAGTGATAAATAAGAAATTGTGGTATCCCTGCAGGCAGATAGAGGTTGCTTCTTTTTCTGTACAAAGTCATGCCTTTGTGGAACTACACATGCCTGCATTCTCCTATTCACTCACTCTGCCCACTGGCGTATAGTTATGTGCCACATAAATATTTAACCTCCTTTGTACTGGAGTGGTCACATAAGAGGTAATATTTAAGGACATAGAAGGTCTTGTGACAGATGGGATCACAGATAAGGAATAAAGGCACACAAAGGAGCTACTGAATGGTCAGAAGCTCCTTTAAAGAAGATGTTAAGATGGCATTCCTGATAGAACCACCTACTTCCAATTCACTCAGCATTTCATGAATGGCCTTGTTTATAGAAGTGCTTGAAAAAATTTGACCTGTCTCACTTGTTTGCACATAAATTACAGCTCTACCTTCATAAAATCACTGCATTTTGAAAGCTCCCTTTAGCACCCAGTACACTTCTGTATATAAATTGCTTTTTAGTAGCCCAGAACAGTTTCAGGAAGTAAGCAGTGAACTGAAAACATCTGCATTCTTTACATTAGGTGATTCTCTTTTTCTATTCCACCAGGATGAATTTTTTGGCATATTTATATTAATTTATATTCATTCACTGGAAACTGTCAGCAACATCTGATAGACTCTGGGGTCTCTTCATCTGAATGTCCCTGTGGGCACCAGAAACATCTGTCCTCTCCTCCCTGGGAGGATTCAGAGGAAGGGACATGAGGAGGAAGTGCTCTGCAGGGTCTAGCTTCTGGCAGCTGCTTGCTCTCATGTGAAACGACTGGAGGGACCAAAATTACATGGGACATAAAGCCAGCACTACTTAAATAATAAGCAACATTGCCCCTGTTTAAATGTCTCCCTCCTCCCTCTCAAATCACAGATAATGCATTTTATTTGTTCCCTCAGTGCATGAATGAGGTACATTTCTAGTGAGAAAGATCTGGCTGAAGCCCTGTCCATATGGGATAGAAAAGATAATGATGGATGGGAAAAGAAATTACTTTGGATATCAAGATATGCAGCAAGATGGAACCTTCTACATACTGTACCTTTGTATTGTTGTCCTCAAGGTCTCCCAGATTCCTAGACATTCTTCAGTGGCTAAAAACCTCTTTTCACTTGCCTGTTAGTGTTTGCAGAAGTTTCTGACATAAAGCTCATCTTTGTGTATGTGTGGTCAGGCTGTTGTGTTGTGTTGGGTCTGGAGCACTTGCCTGCCAGTGAGGTAAGTGAAAGGTCATCCATCAGCTGTTCTGTGTTCCTTCTGGATGGCAGGGAATTCAAGGAGTAGAGAATTTTAACTACTTTCTGAGCTAACACACCTTAATCCAGTACTTATTCTGTCATTGCTGGAGGGGTAATACAGAACATCTGAAATTTTTGTTAATATTTTTAATATCAGAATTCTACATGTGGGACATTTATGGTAGACAGAGTGTGTGATTTAACTTGTGGAGCTGCCAAAATTTCTTCATCTTCACAGTGTAACAGAGCTCATACTATTCCTTGAGGTAATGCATAAGAGCATCTGTTGTGCATAAAGAAAGTGCTGAAAATAGTAGAAAATTCAGTCTTCTGTGCTTTGGTTTGGAAAAGAGCCAGTCACCATTTAAGATGAGAGAAGACACCTTGAGGAGAGCATCTCACAGGTGAAGGCAGGAGAAGAGTATAATCCTCCACTGGAGTATCCTGCAAAGAAAAGAGGATGCAACTAATTTCAAAGAAGAATTTCTTTGTTATTGTAGAAATGGAGATAAAAGCATTTTTAATTCACAGGAGAATCAATTTAATTTTCTTTTTTTTTTTTTTTTTTTTTTTTTTTTTTTCTGAATTTATTAAAAGCTTGCAGCCCTTCTCAGGTATCACAGTTTCTCTGATTTTGTGTGAAAAATTAAGCTTCTAGCCTGACAGAGCATCAACTAGGGGCATCATAGCAGCTCAGCAGCAGTCCTTTTCTTTTCTCCTCTTCTGAGAACTGTCTTCCATTTTGTTTGTCTTGTTTTTTCCACTTTCTCCCTCAACAATTTTCCCACCACTTAATTCTGATTTGACATATCTGTGCTGACAGAGAAGTTAAGATTGATGACCTCTTCTGTTCTTCTGGTCAGAGAAGATGAATCAAACTAAATTGTTTTACAAGTTAATAAAAACAGCCTATTCTTTTTTATTTTTTTATTTTTTAATAACAGAGCAAAGAAGTTCAGGGAGCAAAGAATGACAGGGAAGGCAGATGGATGTAATGTGATGGAGGTTGCTGAAAAATAAAGGTAGCTCTGGGCAATGTGCCAGTTTGTTCAAACTGAGACTTAGCTCTTGGCTCAGGAGGAACTATCTGAGTTTTTAAAGTTCATGATGTAAACAGCTGTCAATTTACTTTTGTAATGAGAACTAATATGACTTTAAATAGCCAAGCTATTTTTACTTTTATAATTGATCCTGGGTATATTTCTGGTCCTGTTCCATTCAATGTCAGTTGAGGAACATGCAATCCTTGGAGACCAAGCCATAGTTGTAGATAATAAATCCATTAAGTCTGTCACTTTTTGGTTTTGGTGGAGCATGCTTCAGAAGACTAGGAAAAAACCCACGACAGAAAAAACACACACATTTTTAACACTGATACAAAAATTGCTACTATTTTTGACTAGTATTTTTTCCTACTTTTGAAAGATTCCTGTTAGAAGCAGCCTTATCAGGGATGATTTATTGCAGACATTAGATTGCTGCAAGATTTGAGGGATCCCACCACAGATATCAGAAAGAGCAGTCCTGGGTTCTATCATAGGTATTGCATAGGTTCTTCTGTCTCTAGTGACAATGGTCAAAACCCTGAAGAATTCACTACGCTTCATGCTGGCAGGAAACACCCGTGCAATCTCTAACACATTTTAAATGTTCTTTTTTCTTCTTTCTCAAGACGTGAAAGAGTCTCCAGGGAATGGGAGGTAATGTGTTAGTGTATGCTGCATGTCCCCCAGAAGGAATCCATCATGCACTGACGTCAAAGTGGTGGTGACTAGGCAAGGAGGATTCTGTTCTCCTATTCCCACATCTTCATGTAGTTCAGCATGTAGGTGCACATGGTTTGTGTGTACCTGCACAGCTAAATAACGCTTTATTTCCAGGAAAATCACCAGTAGTTTGTTTCACAGACAGGTAGTCTTCTACAAGTGGCCACAGAAGCTGTGTTCTTACACCCATTTCACTCACTTGTCCCATTCTGTTCTACCCCAAATCAAGGCTAAACTGCAGCCTCCACCCGCCAACTGTACCAAGAGGCTTCTGGTTCTCTATCCTTCAGGTCTACTTCTTACTCCTTAGGTGTCTCTTGAACTTTTGTGTTTGCCATTTACCAAACTATTTCCTCTAAAGCCACTTTTAAAAAACAATTCAATTTTTAGGGACCTGTATGGAATTAGTGGTCTTCTAGGGTACAGTTGAAGCAAAAAAAAAAAAACCAAAAAAACTACCCGCAGACACATGCTCCCTTACTAGTTAAAGAACCTAAGAGTTCTCATGTAGAAGTGATACACAAAATTTATTGAGGTTTTTCAAATATTGATATATTTCCAAGCAGAAGTTTTGATGAGTTGCTTCACAGTCTAATCATATGCATTCTGAGAACAGTAAAGCAGCGTCTGACTAAATGCCATGCATATTCTGTGACTCTGTGATTTCAAGTTCTGGATTAGTGCTGACATCTGCTGTTTATTCTTGCTAAATACATGCAACACAGGACGGGGAATTGCTGCCTGTGTGCTTTGTGCTGACTCAGTTTCATATTTTATTTCTTACAAGGAAACATAGATAGAAACAAAAAAGTACAGAAAAACATCCATGGGTCAATTTCTATCCGTATAGAATTTCGAGCCATGAAATAAAAACCAGACAACAAAGATGAAACTGAATTTTAATCTTTTTAAATGTCTAACAATACTTCTAATGAGGAAAGGCCTTGAGATAAGTAACCTGAGGAAGGAAGCTGTCTATGTACAGGGTGGATATTTAGCCTGGAAAGTCCTCAGTGCAGGGATCCCTTCTGTATTATGATTTCTGTTACTGCTTTTCTGTCACTCTTTCTACAGGAGCCCCTAGAATGCTGGGGTCCTAATCCACAGCTGGTATGGCCAGCTGCTGCTGCAGGGGGAAGGGGTTGTGGCAAGAATGCAAGAACCCTGTGTCCCTATTCTGCTTGTCTACTCCGAGTTCAGACCCAGCTGCACCAGTTCAAGGAGCTCCAGCCTGGCCACAAGCATGGCTATCACTCCAAGACACCAGGGCAGGTGTCACTACTCAGTGTCACTAGGACTTGCACTGAGAACTGATGGGAGGCACCAGCTGCTTTAATATATGTTGTTCTACAGCTTCCATGGCCATTAGTTATCACTGGGCTGGCTGGATCCACAGTACTTCATGTGCCTTGTATTGACTGAGAGCCTTAACTCTTCCTGCTCCTGCCAGTCATCCTCCCTTCTAACATCAACCAAAACAATGGTGGGGGACAAAGGAGTTCTAGAGATTCATAATGAGATTTTTTTTTTCTCATTATAAAATATATCAGGGAGAATATAAGAATGGGAGGTTTGGTGGAAATCCCAGATTTATCACCTTACTGCAGTAAAACTCCACTATGTTTCTGCTCTCCAGTGAAAGAAAATCCTTCACCTAAATAAAATGACCCCATGTACTGCTCTAAATGCAGCCATGGTAGCTGTCAATTGCATTTCTTTCACAAGGCATTAGAATTAAGTACACAAACATTCACAATTTTAGGATTTGTTTGCTGTGATTAGTATCATGAGTCAGAGGGAAGTAAAATTTTCAGTTTAGTTGTTTAGTTTTAAAATCTGAAGTGCTTTAAAATAACAATTAAATAATTTTTATCTGTATTGTGGTATTTCAGTCCATTATAGTTTGCCTTTTTAAAACATTTTTTTTTCTTTTTAAATGCTTCGTTCCCTGTCCCACAAATCTAGGATATGAGTTTTTCAAAGATTTGCAGTTAAAATGCAAGAATTGGCAGAGTGCTTCCCAAAGGGTAATGCTAATTAATGATGCCATTGCTGGGGGTAAGGTTTCTGTGGTCTCTGGTGCTGATCTTATTAATGGTTTTAAAATAAAAGAGAATATATTTATATTAGATTTAAGGAAGGAATGAGGATGATGAGACACTGGAACAGCCTGCCTAGAGATCCTGTGGATGCCCCATCCTTGAAAATGTTCAAGACAAGGTTGGTTGGGGCTTTCAGAAACACAGTCTAGTGGGAGGTGTATCTGCCCATGTCAGGGGTTTGGACTAGATGACCTCCAAAGATCTATTTCAACCCAAAACATTCCATGAGTCCATGATTCTTCAATAATTTCCAGTGACTCTGGATGCAGTGAGTAGCATTCCCTCAGGAGAAAGGGTAGCAGCAGGGTACAACACTGAAAAAAGTAAGGTTGTAAATTCAAGATAAAGCCAAAATTTTAATCCCAGGAAAGCCAACCTAATATGCTATAAAACCAGGATTTGTATTCAGTTTCTCAAAGGAGTAAGGTTATTAACTTATTGTGATAAAAAGACTAACATGCCTGACACTGAAAATATTTTTGATTTGTATATGAATTAAATAAGAAGTCTCAAATACAATCTCAAGACTCTTATTATTATGTAAAAATAGTAATAGTGAAATTTATACAAGTCACTGAAGTCCTGTGGGAGGTGCTTTACATCAGAAATCACAATTAGAAAGAAATAGGTGGCAGGTGATGCTAATTGTTTTGGACTGAAAGAGATCCGGGCCTTTAAATCAAAATCCCAGGGAGCACAAAGAGTCTCTCAAAGTCGCTGATGTTTTCATTAAGCCAAAGCTGGGGCTGGCACAATGCCTCCTTCCCAGGCCCACGCTGGGCCCTGGCCCAGGCTCTCCACACCCTGAGACCACGCTGCCATCTGCCCATGAGCCCCCTTGAGAGGTTTGTGCCCGGTGATGTGGGGAATGGAGTCACCAGCTTTGCTTATGCCACTGAGGGTTTCTCAGGGCATGTAAGACCACAGTGCACCCAGGCTCCTTGCCTGGGTCATCTCAGGGATGGTGTGAGTGTGTGAGGAAGGGAAGGAAGCAGATCCTTGCCTTGCTCTCAGTCCCTGCTCCACCAGCAGCACTCCCTGTGCACAGGAGGTAGATGCTTCTTTCTGTCAGTACACAAATACACTGTTCTCTCCTGAAGGGAGAATGACTATAAGTTCTTTCATTAAAGTATTTCTATTGCATTTTAATTATGTGCAGCTTCAGCAAGTTGCATGAGTTGCTTTACATTTAATGACGTCGTGTAATTTGCCCATAGAACTGAGAAAGCTAATAACAGCACAAGGGCATTACAAATCATACCTAAGTGATCAGGGATATTTTGTGTCTCCTGTGCTAAAGAGTCTTTGCTGTACCACAAAAAAAAATTTTTTTCAGAATCCTTTTTATTAAAGATCCCCTGTCATATCCTCAAATATTTTTTTTCATTTAACACAAAAATTTTATATTTTCTGCAAGTAAATTTTTTTGAAGTAAAATTCAGCTTTGTCTGGATTTGGTTCTCCCAGGGTTATTGCATATGACTACATTATTTTGACATGGCTGTGGAGCATGGTGCTCTCTGACTGCTACATTTGCCATGACTCTGACCCTCAAAATGGGACTTAACAACTGTGG